TTAAAATAAAAGGAAGCTAACATGGGAAAAATCAGAAGGAAATAAATAAAGCAGGTAATTTTTCATGTTCATGTTTCGTTTTTATTTTTATAACAATTTTTTGCATGATTGTGAAGGAGAAATTAATGCCTTAGTGTTCTTCACTGTAATGTAGAAGCAGTCAGCTGTGGCTGGGTGAGCAGGAAAACTTTCATGATAGAAGTTCTGCCTCAGCTTTAAAGTCCCAGTACATCATTAAGCATCACTTCACAGGGACAGACAGTACCTATGTCTTCAAGGAGGGAGTTACAGGACATCTAAAAGACAAGCTGTGAACCTTTGTAACATTTAAGATGTAACTACTGGAAGGAGTGCATCTGGCAGATATGAACAGCAATAATCAGTCTTAAAACCTACAGCAAATCCATGCAAACAGAAGAGACAATTACTTCATTTCAGGGAGTTGTAATTTTCAAGAAATTCTGTGTGTCATTTTTCAGAATGAATTTGTGACAAACACTGAATTTCTGCCTGAAGTATCCATGCTATTTTCATAAAGTGTGGTAAGAACTCAGAATGCAAACCATGTTGAGGAGCATATGCTGTATTCTTATCTTAAAGTAGGAATGCAACCTCTTCTGAATGCAGTGTTATAACCTATACTTTTAACTGAATAAATAGGTCTACCTGTACTATACAGACCTGGCCCTTTACATTTCAAATTACCAGAGTCAGTTTAGATTTGGCGCTTCCTATGCAGTACAGTCATGTCTGCATCTAAATGTTTCATGTGCTCAAGAAGTATCCTCCGTTTCTCTGACTTAGCTCCCAAAAATGATGTTCAATTGCTTCTTTGCAAACCATGTTTCTTACCAGATGTTTTCGCACTGAGCTCCAAACCAACTTAATGTAAGCAAGCTCCATCCAAAAACTGCACAGCTCTTTTTGTGTAATGCTCTAGCCAGATCTTCCTACCAAAAGGTTGTCTACAGCCAGGGCCTGACTTTAAACCCAGACTTCTCAATTTGTGTTCTGTGCGTGTAGCAATTTTATTTCAGCACAAGAGACTGTGACTAACTTTTACATGGTAAATGGGCAAACCATTAGGTCCTTGGTTAGTGCATCTGAAGCCATGTTAATAACACCTTATTTTAAAGCACTTTCTTACTGTCCCTCCAGCTGCTGAAAGTAAAAATGTATATTAAAAACCACTGTAACAGTCCTAAGAAATATGGACTATATAATGTACTAATTCTCAACAAAAACTATTATTAAGAAAAAATCTTTCATCATAAGAACTGTCATAATTGCAGAAAGCTTTTTCCAGTGTGTTTTTATTAGGGATTTCTGCCATCATATCAACATACAAAACAATCAGGATGTTGACATATAGAAATGTGAAATTCACTATACAAAGATAAGGCTCAAGTTACAGGTATATTTTCCCCTTAGTCTCCATGAAATAAAACAATTTTTAATTCTTCCCAGAGTTGTGTTTATAAATGTTAGACAAGCCACAAAACAGATTTCAAGTACATAACATTTTACAATATAATCCAAGCACAGACAGAAATACACAATACTGTACCTATAGATGCTCCATAATCCAAGCCTGTCATCCCCACCAATAAAATACTAGACAGCTACTCTCTCTCTGAATATGCCCAACCATATCCTTCTGTGTGTATTACATGGTCCTGACCTTTACGTTATAGAGTTATAGGACTCTTGTGACTTTCAGTTAAATTACTTTTATAGACCAAATATCAGGAAGGAAGGGATGAATTTTAAAAGGCCAGGACCGAACATATGCACATGGTTAGCAAAGGCAGGCACATGTTCACACACACACTTGCACTTAACCCTACATAAAACCTCACTGTGCTGCATGTTTTCTATGTTGTTATGTAACTCGGTTATTTTCTGATAGAATTAAATCAAGCATAACAACACTCCAACTTCTGGAGTGCTGTCATTTACAGGGACAAGACTACATTTTAGAGCATAGGATCTAATTTATTTTTTCTTAATAATCTTCAGACTTAAATCAGAACCCATATGGAACCATGTCTCCATAGTCCAGCAGGATGCCAGCTCTCACAGCCTTCACCACTCCAAACACCTTTTCTGACACTTTTGTTTAGAAACAACACAAGCAAATAATTTCCCGTTAAGGACAAATGTCTACTCAGTTCACTCTCCATTTCTATTAGGCTGAATAATTACAACCTCAAGGGAAAGGATCATTTAACTGCAAGTAGCACAAGAAGAAATACACATCAAGTAACTAATCAATAATGATTTTTCAGCGGAACAGATTGGCAAGAACAAAGAAAGACAAGAGAAAAAAGGTAGTTGTTTATTTAGCCTTTGTTCATAGGGAAATTAATAGCAATCCAAAAGTTTTCAGCTGGGAAAAAAGAATTCCTAAGCCTTGTAACTGTTTTGTCCTTTTAAAACTGAGAATTAGAAGGGAAGAAGAAATCCTCTAAGGAAACTGCTATTTTCAAACTAGACATTTGCATGGGCTTACATGAGAAAACCAAGCAAAATAGATTATCTGGTATCAAAACTAAAGGAATTTATTCAGTAGGAAGTAGAGATGTGGTTACAATGTGTTAAGTGCACATCTAATAGAACAGTCTCAAATACGTCTCCAACTGATAAATCTCTAAGAAGGAGAAATAGTCAGGCCAAAATCAGAGTTTCCTAGTTTAAAGACAAAATACATATGCACTAAGATTGGGGTGGGGAAGAATAAAAACTTTCTCTTCTTAAATACAACCCCTGTGGTACATTTGAGGGCTTTCAAATGCTCTCAGCATTGGTAAGATTTTACTTAAGTATATTCTCTAAGCTATATTGGAATACCTTTAAATATACAAATCCATGTTACATGAAACAGCATTAGATC